ATTAAAATATCATTTACGTACATTGTTAATCTTCACTTTACACCTTGCTTAAAAATTTCATATGTTGACCTTGACATGACCTTGATATGACCTTGACATGACCTTGACGTGACCTTTACATGTCCTTGATATGACCTTGACATGAACTTGACATGAACTTGATATGACCTTGACAAATCAAGGTTATATCAAGGTTATACCAAGGTTATGTCAAGGTTATTGATAATATTCTTCATATTTCTCTAACAAACATATCCCTTACGTTCTTTAACGCGATTATTATTTATTAAATTAGCTTTGCGGATCATTCGTTAAACTATGTTCGGACGCGGAATTATTTAAATTAAAATATCATTTACGTACTTTGTTAATCTTCACTGTACACCTTGCTTAAAAATTTCACATGTTACACACGAGGTGTCATGCACACTAGAAAATTAAAACGGCCGTCATGGTTAAATTACTTACTATTTCGGGTCCGGAAAATTAGTAAATATTCTTCAGACGTTCTAAAGTAAAGGTGAACAGCGTTTTTCTTAAAAATATCACTGTTACGTAGTAAAAAAAAATCCCTTAAGTTCTCGCTTCGTGATTTGTTCAATACTTCGAACGCGGCTCGAGTCCGTCCCGACCATCTGTCAAAGCCTCGTGCTGCGGACTCTCTCTCTCTCTCTCGCACCGTCACCTCTCATTGGCCAGTGTTTTTCGTTAATAACTCGTAAACAAAGCCGCGGATTGCATTTTCGCAAAGGAAAAAGTTACTTCAAATGACCTCAGCTACCCCTCATTTTCGGCTGTTAAAGTAATTGTGGAACACCCTGTATACATCCCTGTCTGGTTGAGTATTAAACAATGTTGTACATTAACAGAGAATGTCGCGCGATTCAAAGTTGACTGTCCTAGCGAAACTTGATGCTTTTGCAGCTAATGTGACAGTGGGCACAGAAATTAAAGACATCGCTATAAATCAGGGGTGGCTTTGATCACAACGGGCGATCTGTTTTTTTTTAAATTATAGACGGCGGTCTACCAACATCGTATGTGTTAAGTGATCATAAGAAATGTAGTAATTTAAAGTCAAAAATATGTTTGAATTTAAAATAAACACAGACCAGTCGACCGCGATCGATGCTTTGGCCACCCCTGCTATAAATGGTATCAGATTTTAAAATTGCTTACGGATGCGATTATTTTGAACATCTCTGCTTTTATCTTCATTTTCAACTGCATCATTTGTGCCAGATTGTACACTATATATGTCTGCCAGGTTTCGTTATAATTGGCAACTTCAAATAGGACGATGTCTGTTGTAAGTATAATCACCCCGTGGTGATTGACTTTTCTTATAGACGTTGTGTGAAATCGGTGTTCTTATGTACGCGAAAATCTTCAATGTAAATATATACCATGCGAATTAAAGATTCAAGGTGGTTCATTAACAACAGAATCCCAAGGGTAATCGGAGCAAACGATTTATCTCAGTCTATGGTTCCCCGCGAATCGTTACCGCCGACGTATCCGCGACGAAGAGTAATGAGATTTGACGGAGCGTCTTCCGTGGTTTCTTACTTTATTTGAAGTTCACGTGGAATAGAACATTCAATGTTTCATTCTAACTAATGCAAATTAGGATCAAACGATCGGTTTACTTAATTAAGTCCGACGAGGAAAATACATCGTTCTAATTTCAGGATGTAACATTTGAATTTCGAGATCCGAAATGTTTGCAGCTGCTAGCGTTTAGAAAGATCTTCTAAAAAAAGGTGAGTTCGTGATTTCTGAAGCATGGTAGAGTTAAAAGTGCCACATCTTTTTATCTATATACGTAGTGAGATATTTTTTATACCATCTCGAAGATTTAAAATTACTTAAAACACAGCGGTTTATACATTGAATCCCGCGTGTTTCGTATAGTTAGTGATTTCAGCAAAAAATGCAACATGAATCTTTTTTAAAATTCTGCACTTTAAGAAGTTGGAACATTAATGACTGCAATGTTTGCTCGCAAGACGGAAACAATGACACTGGTAGAGGCAGTTAACGGGAAATGGAGTGAGTTTACAAATTAAAGTGAAAGAACAAAGTGACATGGAGTGTAACAAAATGTTGGAATATTGTTAAGACAGTGTTTACTATTACTGTTATGCATTCCCTCTTTCTCTCTCTCTCTCTCTCTCTCTCTCTCTCTCTTCCTTTCACTCTATTCGTTGCAGTTGCTATTAAAAGAATGCTCGGTATAAGGGTGGAAAAGAAGGCACGTCACATGACGGCGTAATCGGATCGGGGATGGACATGCGTTTCACAAACATTTGCTCGTGACAAACAAACATTCTTGTCCCGTGGCTGACGTCAGCAGTATTATTAAACTCGATTAAATGCAGATTAAATCGATGTCTACTAAAATGATCGCAAATGAAATTACACGGTTAGGAGTTCTTCGTTTAATGGAAAGTGTACATGCACGTTACAATTTATCGTACGGTTAGCTGCACGGGGTAGCAAGGATTAAGTGGAATGACCTATCGTACGATGGTTTATAAATAGACCGTTCATTCGTAAAATTTTTATGACGAAATATAGATAGCAAATCTAATACGGCAATGCAGAGATACAAATGTAGCAAAAAGTAATATCGAACGAAGATTAAGTATTTATAATTTTGTACTTTCCATGCCTCTAAGTCGATTCATCCGACAAAAATATCATTCAAATGTTCATTTAAATGTATTTTGGACAGTGTGATATACAAAAATTATCTGTTATTGAATTCAGAAACGAGAGAGAAGTAATATGTACTAATAAATGAAATGAAGCGACAGAAATAGGAAAGAATATTTCTGATATCAAGGATGGCACAGTTTGGTTTCATATTCGGGTCCATTTAATATTTTAATCCCGAAGCTAAAATCGCAGAGAATTATCGTACATCTCATGGTTATAATCAATATTGAAAGGGATTACGGTCCATATTCAAAAAATATTTTTAGAAGTATGAAAATACTTAAAATACATCTGCTGACATGCACAAAATTGTCATGGAAACCTATATATCGATGTTCTATAAAGAGTACTCAAAACATTTAATTTTACTTTGAACTTTGTAATTTTGTCTTTAAAAAAAATGAAGTTTTTATCAAATCACATAATTATTTCAAATTAATGATTTAAAAGAAAAAAAATACTATTTCAAAGAGAAAACATATTTTTAAAATATTAAAGTTGAAGTATTGTGCTTCGTGAAAGTGCAAAGTCACTTTCAAACTGTCTCGAACGAAGTTGTAGAATTGCAATAATGAAAAATCACCGAATCAACGTACGGTATTGCAGTGCCATCGGATATTCTGAATCCCGTCTTGGCGATGCGTGCTAAAGATATACTGATTTCTTATTCTCATAGACGAATTTATCAATCACATCGATGCTGTTGAAATTTTAGCCTCGAACAAAAATTAATCTATAGTTTACTTAGTAAGATATCTTCAGTTAAGATATCGGTTTACATTTCGCCGGCTCCGTCAGCGGGCAGCGACGGTGATGTAAACTGTATATATTAGATNACATCGTTCTAATTTCAGGATGTAACATTTGAATTTCGAGATCCGAAATGTTTGCAGCTGCTAGCGTTTAGAAAGATCTTCTAAAAAAAGGTGAGTTCGTGATTTCTGAAGCATGGTAGAGTTAAAAGTGCCACATCTTTTTATCTATATACGTAGTGAGATATTTTTTATACCATCTCGAAGATTTAAAATTACTTAAAACACAGCGGTTTATACATTGAATCCCGCGTGTTTCGTATAGTTAGTGATTTCAGCAAAAAATGCAACATGAATCTTTTTTAAAATTCTGCACTTTAAGAAGTTGGAACATTAATGACTGCAATGTTTGCTCGCAAGACGGAAACAATGACACTGGTAGAGGCAGTTAACGGGAAATGGAGTGAGTTTACAAATTAAAGTGAAAGAACAAAGTGACATGGAGTGTAACAAAATGTTGGAATATTGTTAAGACAGTGTTTACTATTACTGTTATGCATTCCCTCTTTCTCTCTCTCTCTCTCTCTCTCTCTCTCTCTCTTCCTTTCACTCTATTCGTTGCAGTTGCTATTAAAAGAATGCTCGGTATAAGGGTGGAAAAGAAGGCACGTCACATGACGGCGTAATCGGATCGGGGATGGACATGCGTTTCACAAACATTTGCTCGTGACAAACAAACATTCTTGTCCCGTGGCTGACGTCAGCAGTATTATTAAACTCGATTAAATGCAGATTAAATCGATGTCTACTAAAATGATCGCAAATGAAATTACACGGTTAGGAGTTCTTCGTTTAATGGAAAGTGTACATGCACGTTACAATTTATCGTACGGTTAGCTGCACGGGGTAGCAAGGATTAAGTGGAATGACCTATCGTACGATGGTTTATAAATAGACCGTTCATTCGTAAAATTTTTATGACGAAATATAGATAGCAAATCTAATACGGCAATGCAGAGATACAAATGTAGCAAAAAGTAATATCGAACGAAGATTAAGTATTTATAATTTTGTACTTTCCATGCCTCTAAGTCGATTCATCCGACAAAAATATCATTCAAATGTTCATTTAAATGTATTTTGGACAGTGTGATATACAAAAATTATCTGTTATTGAATTCAGAAACGAGAGAGAAGTAATATGTACTAATAAATGAAATGAAGCGACAGAAATAGGAAAGAATATTTCTGATATCAAGGATGGCACAGTTTGGTTTCATATTCGGGTCCATTTAATATTTTAATCCCGAAGCTAAAATCGCAGAGAATTATCGTACATCTCATGGTTATAATCAATATTGAAAGGGATTACGGTCCATATTCAAAAAATATTTTTAGAAGTATGAAAATACTTAAAATACATCTGCTGACATGCACAAAATTGTCATGGAAACCTATATATCGATGTTCTATAAAGAGTACTCAAAACATTTAATTTTACTTTGAACTTTGTAATTTTGTCTTTAAAAAAAATGAAGTTTTTATCAAATCACATAATTATTTCAAATTAATGATTTAAAAGAAAAAAAATACTATTTCAAAGAGAAAACATATTTTTAAAATATTAAAGTTGAAGTATTGTGCTTCGTGAAAGTGCAAAGTCACTTTCAAACTGTCTCGAACGAAGTTGTAGAATTGCAATAATGAAAAATCACCGAATCAACGTACGGTATTGCAGTGCCATCGGATATTCTGAATCCCGTCTTGGCGATGCGTGCTAAAGATATACTGATTTCTTATTCTCATAGACGAATTTATCAATCACATCGATGCTGTTGAAATTTTAGCCTCGAACAAAAATTAATCTATAGTTTACTTAGTAAGATATCTTCAGTTAAGATATCGGTTTACATTTCGCCGGCTCCGTCAGCGGGCAGCGACGGTGATGTAAACTGTATATATTAGATGCCGCAATACATCATCGCCGGTACCTTTTGATATACATCGTGCCCTGACTGTTTGAGGGTCCCAGCGTCACGTATACAATGTAAAACGCGACAAATAAAACGTCTCTGATTGGTGGACACGACGAACCCAAAAAGGGTATAAAAGAAGCGTTTCTTCTTACCGGCTACTCAGTAGAGTTTGGTCGCTCGATCGGTTTCGCTCATATACCTTCTCTCAATAAAGGATTAAAATAAAGTCTTCTAAAGCAAAGAATTAGAATCATTTCCATTCCATAATCCCAATAGATGCCATCTGCCACTCCAAGAGTTCATTCAACAGCTTTATTTCAAATCAAAACGCTAGTCGAGACTTCCGAAGGATTTCGAATCGGATTTCGATTAATCCCCTGCTTAGCATGCACATTGAACGACGAGAACGCGAACAATCGTCGAGAATGAAGGTCGAGAATATTTTTCAAGAATAACGATAGCTTGAAACACGAACTTTAGAAGAATGACATTTAATGCGTCATCGATGCCAGCACATATAGCTAATACCAGGTTATGCATCGTGGCATGAATATTCGGAACAAATCGCTTCCGACGAACCTCGGTTCGAATGGGGACCGCGATATTTTTACGGAGCTTTCATATTGATCCATGTATTCCAGGCAAATAAAGTCCGATGCTATAAAAAGCCTGTTCCAGAAAATGGCGTGATCGATGGTAATCCGAGGCAGCCGTTTGTACTTTTGTTATTTATAATTTCGCGAATTTCAGGAAAACACTCGAAGTAATATTTGTATTGATAATCTCCTCGGCGTGTGAACTCCCGTTTGGCATCGGGAAGGAGCAACGCGAACTCCGTCGCGGGTCGGAAAATAGAAAACGCAAGAGACTCTCGTTTCCTGGCGCAAAAGGCACGGCGGCCGGCCTCGCGGTGAAAGGCAATCTCTCTATGATGTTTTTGATGAAAACGGCGAGAACCTGTGTTCCTTTAGTACAAATTTATTCCGCGACAGGTAATGCATAGGAATTAGATATTATCACATGCTCGCGTATATGTATCACAAAAAGATATATTACAAAGAAGTATACATGCTGCGTGTCGTTCACGAGTAAACATTGAACGCGAAGCAGGATCAATTCCTTGGTCCCAGCGAGACACAGGGTCGGAATACATTAAAATTCATGCGTGAACCTTCCTTGTTCCTCACGAATGCTTTCACGAGGTTTATATTCCTACATTTATTGCCGACCATGTGCCGAACCTTTGTCGAATCCCAGCGCGATAATTGTCGGTCTTCCGACCGAATTTTACTGCACCTTATCCCAACGAGACAATGAAGATACAGGAAGTCAGTTCAACGAAATAGGTGTGATTCGATCTTTATTGATTATTTCTTTCCTCTCGATTCACGGTCCTTATCCTACGGTTATAAAAAGATCGTAGCTCTTGTAAGGTTCTTCTTACCTAAGCGCTTAAAGTATCGTTCACCACGGGTTCGGCGGTTTGTTCCCGCGGAAAACACGATTCCACCCGTGGGAACCCTTTGAGTGTCAATTACGCGACACACTGATTGCGATTGCTTGGAAATTTTAGGAACTTTGAGTGACCGGCACACACGCGCGACGTGCCTCGCAGCTCGCGAGAAAAAGAACGGTGGTATCGCCAGCCCCTAAGTTGCACTTACGCATCGGCTTCCGTGAAGAACCACGACGCTTCATGACATTCTATCGGCAGTTGCGTGTGTAGGAATAATCGGCGATGCTTGACGACATTCATAATACTGACATCGAACAACATTTGTAAATTTCAGGTGACCACGAAGATGTAAAAAAGGAAACTCCTCTAAAGCTACCTGGGTGAAGAAATCGTATAAAAATATTTGTCTGCGACTTCACTGCGCGGGCTGGCGCCGTTCATATTTTTCGAAAGCCCGACCCACCGGTGTCTCTACCATTTTATATTCCCGCTTCGCAGGTCTTTGTACGCGGACGCCGTTATCACACCGTGACTCTGGCGATAATTGTTGAGATAACCCGAGTTGTTCACCGGCGCAGACCACTTAGCACCTTCGGTGGCGTGCTTCGGTTGCTCCCTCGTTACGTGGCGGTGTGTAGGAGCAGAATTTTTCGTTCGTCGCGCGCCATTCGCAGGACAATCGGAGGACTCTAATCGGTCGGCGTTGCTTCGCAGGATGATCGCGTGATCCGCGTTTTTCTTCGTTCGACAAGGCGCTGGTTTCTGCTGTTCGACTCGCATCGGCATCACTTGGGTCAGATAATTCCGGATTACCTGATTCTTCGAGGCAGATGTCGTGCGCGCAGCGCACAACGATTCCGCGCTGTTCGCGTTGCTGCCGCTGCTGACGTTCTTGCTGTTCTGACTGTCGTTCGATCTGAGATAGTAGCAAATCGTGTTATCCGATGTCTTCGCGAAATACTTCGTTTGCAGGCTCTGAGGACTGTCGTGGGCGAACGAAATCCTCTGCCGATCTTGCCCACGCCAGTTTGTATCCGACGTAAAGCGGGCAGGTTGCCGGGTCTGTTTGCCGTTCTTCCGCGGCTTCGTACGAGCGACCTGCGCCAGCTGGCCCGACCTTCCATCAGGAGAACACTGAAACGAGTTCGCACATTTAGCGGTCGGAGAAAAAAGCTCGGTAAAGGACGTGGTAAATGTAGAGAAGAAGAAAGTAAGATATTCTGAGTGCGAGAAGCGTAACGGTGGGTCGTACGAATGATTACAGTACCTAAAGGAGTCCCACGTGACAAGTAGCCTGTAACGATAGAATCGTCCGTGTTACTCCTAGGCGAAGAGCACGACGAAATATAAGTACCGTGCTGATAGAAAAGATAAAAAAAAAGAGATTATTCGATTAGCGATTTTACCATGGGCACTTGATCGGACTGTATAGATCGCTGGGACTTGGACAATTGACGGTGCTGTTGGTTAATGTACAGGCAACTCTTAGTCCCGCTAGGCGTAAAGTTGTTTACATTGCCGTTCATTAAGTTATACGTGTACTGCGTGGCCACGCTCCTCGCTGTCGGATGTTAAGGAAATCGTCAGCGTAGTAGTACAATTGTAGAGAAGTGTAAACAGTACCCGATAATTACCAGTCGGTCGATGATTCTTCACAGTCGAGTTTTGTGTTTGGGGCTCCATGGAGGTGCTTATAGTTCTTGTCTTCCTGATTCCCTCGCCGCTATCAATCTGCGGCTGCCGCGTCGTTTTTCTATTCGCTAGATGCGCGCGTGCTGTGAAACAGATGGGGTTGTGTAATCGTTTCGTCAACCGATCAGGGCTTTTTTCTTGAACAGGCGGATACTAGATTTACCATCCAAACAGGAAGGCTCGTAGACGTCGTTTCTGCCTTTTTCCTTGCGTAAATCTTGATACGAATGTCCGGGATTCTTGCCAACAGTTCCATCACCCTGTCCGATCACGGGGTTGGAATGATTGACAGCAGTTTCCTTCCTGATGTGCTCCGAAAGCCGTCTAATCCTAGACTTGGACCTGTCGACGATTCGTCGCTTTTATTTATCCAAAAATCGGATCGAGCACCTAGAGAGTTCACTTACATATTCTTATGTTTTCGATGTTTCTCATCCATCATCGAGTACAGCTTATTCCTGTAATCGTCAACGGAAAGCTGTACATCGTCCCTGAGTAGCGGCACCACGCTCGAACCCCTTTCCGGTTCTTTGCTCCGTTTATGAAAACTGTAAATAAAGCATTTCATAGATCGTTAGGCTTCTTCGTTTCTACAGAAACAGGAAGCTCTGCTTCGTGCACTCGACAATGTATCCGAACTCGGCTAATCATGGAACCGGAAGGTTCCATGGAATTTTTCGAAAAATAATTTTGGCGTCGAGTTGATCAGTAATTTGAAGAATGTACGCACTTGGCTACGTAGGCGTGTTCCAAGGCCTCCACAGCGGTTAACCTGCGATTAGGGTTGAATACTATTAGATTACTGATAAGGTGCAACGCCTTCTCAGACACGTCTGGTAACAGATCCCTCAATGACCGCCTCGGTCCATTCGGCGTTTTCTCTAGCAAATTGGTTCCGTAACCGGCGCAGACTGACATCAGATCTAGAAGGAAATATCGCCGTAGGGGACCGAACGATAATGTCTTTCTGTTCTACCAATCTACTAATGGATAATTACCTTCTTTACTGGGCGACGGTAGGGTAGCCATTATTCTCTCGACTTGGTTGATCGTCGATGAACCAGGGAATAGCGGCTTTCCAAGAAGCATCTCGCCGAGAATGCACCCCAGTGACCACATATCGATGCCCTTCGTATACCTAAATGTCGCCGATAGACAAAGCACCATCAAACATTGTCTGAAATGAAGCTGCGCCCGAGAAACGGCAGGGATACCTTTTCGAAGCGACGAGTATTTCCGGCGCTCGATACCAGCGGGTTGCGACGTAATCCGTGAGGGTGGGATCACTTCCGGTTTCGCCGTCACCCTCGCCGATCTGAGTGACCGACCGTGCCAGACCGAAGTCGGCGATTTTACACTGGCACTGAGTGTTCAGCAGAACGTTCGACGGCTAACATGGTAAAAAGGAAAGAAGAAGAGGCAACGATTACCAAGAAATTGTAGTTTTTAGATTGCGATTTAGACTGCAAGGTGGGAGCCTGAACTTTACCTTCAGGTCCCTGTGTATCACGTTCCCCGAGTGTATGTATTTGATCGCCTTAAACAGCTGATACATGATGAAGACCTTATGGATGTCCTTGAGGAGGTTGCCCTTCTTAATGACGTTGTGAAGATCGATTTCTGGGGAAACGGGCCGAAACGTGTTTCAGGCCAAAAGTCTGAGAATCGCCGTGGCACGTGACCTTCGTGAATTCTTCTTCGGACCGGGTAAAACTCACCCATGTACTCGAACACGAGATAAATATCCCGGTCGTTGTTCGCCTTGTGCAGACCGATCAGTCGTATGATGTTCTCGTGATTAGCGAACGACAGTAAGAACATTATCTCGCGGAACGTGCGCTGCGCGTCCGTCTGGTTTTGGAAGGCGTCGAAGATCTTCTTCACCGCAACCGTCTCCTTGTTTTTCTTGTCTATCGCCTTCCATACTATACCGTAGGCCTGAGAAACATCGCCGCAATAACTCGTTGAACGTAAGTTTGAATTTCACACGGAGCCGTTGTTAGGTACGCGACAGCGGGCGAGTTTGTCGTTGTTGCTTCCGGTATTCGTTGTCACGATTCTAACTGTTAACTGCTACCAAGTATCGATTGACTCTAGTTATACTTTCCCGCAAATGTACCGTAACGAACGTAATTTTCTAGAATGTATTACCGGATCGATCGACGTTTATTTCTGTATGTTCGTTTCCACAGTTCTGTTTCATATTATTCGAATATAATATAACGCAGAATTACATAAAATATACTCCATAGTAGAGAGAACATGATTTTTAAGTTCGTGAACACACGGACGCCAGAATTTTGTACAAAAATAGTTATATCAAGCAAACAAGAAGAAATATTCTAGAACGAACTATAGAATAAGTAAAAACGTTTCAAGAATTTATATAAATACATATTATAAACACTGTATGTAAAAACGTAAATGTAAAATTACTTCATATTTGAATAAGTGCAAATTATTTAACGTCCAGGATGAAATTGAATCACAAGGTCGCAAGGATTTCGAAAACATTGTTGACCATAAACTCGATTAAAGCAAGGAAGGCAACTGTTTAAAATATTGAAAAAAATTCAGATAATTACCCCCTTGCCGAGACGTCGAACTATGTCATAATGTTTGCTGACGTGTGCGTCGATTTCCAAAACCTTTTCGGTGGTGTTTTTCCCTGACATTGTGGCGAGGCCTTGAAGAGGGGCGAACTTCGCTGACCGGTGACCCGAACGTTTGTGGACGTACGAAAATTTTCAGACGGGAACGATGTTCGCGAACCGTAACACATTCACATCTTTACACATCAGGAAGGAAGCTCCACTCGGACAGTCTTTTCATTCAGCCTTTGACACATCAATGCGGCTATGTTTATAGAATTCATACCAATCACCATGACGACAATATTCAATGCTACTCACGGTTACCAACAACGTCGCGTGTTGGTCTCACCCCGGTCAAATTCCTTAAACTTTTTTTCCTGATTTGTAAAAAGATCATTACCAAAATATCTTCCTCAGATTTTAATGAAATTTTGACAGTTTATGACAGAGCCAAAATGAAAGACTAAAGTTTAAGGGGTGAAGTCACGTCCCGTCAAAATTTCTGCCGACATATGTAACTATTTCGCAAACTGTAAAAGAAAACAAGTTATTACATATAACAAAATGATAAAGATCTTTCAGTGAACATCATTTTTAGTTATTGTTATCAAAGCGGGAAAATATAAGAAAAAGGCAACCAATTTTTTAGAAATTATCTTCGCTATTATTATATGTATACGAAAAATGTGCTATTTATAATCTATTTTTATGTATAATAGTTTCCAAGATAGCTAGACAGGGTGTTAATATTAATGGGACATTTTACTCTTTTTCACTTTCACCGCGAATTATAGAAATAAATGGTTCTTATGTTTGGTTTTTATACAAATTTGCAAAAGGAAATGGTTGTATAACAATTCCTGTTAAGTATCAGAAATTTTGTATTATAAGGATTACATCAGGACAAAGATATAGGACGAAATGATTAAAGAACGTAGTATTAATTACGTACAAAGACGTATATTTCTTTCTTTTAAGTCTCGTATAAACTGTGGCCAACGTGACGATAGTCGTTCCGACATTTACATGCTTGACGATTATATTCACATAGTGTTGTAATATGTTGTTTTCAAAGCGATTAAATCGCAAATTTGACATAGATTTTGTAGATTAACTACATTTCTAGAATTTCTACGCTCGACTATAATGTCGGGACACATATACTTATAAACAAAATATAGTGTGGAGTAGTATTAGTACCTCAAACACTACATCTTGAAATGAATCTGGTCCCGAAGGCGGTTATATATACTCTAATAAAGTGCGTAGATTATAAAATTGTTATAACGGCGAGCTATCGCTATAATAGTAGTCGTATCTTTAAGGACGACAATCATCTGATAAGGCGGAATTGATCGACCGCCTAAATGCAAATACTTGAATTGCACGGCATTGCAATAAAAAATAAATTCTTTACTCTCTTAATAACAGTGATAAACTCTCGCGAGGTATTTCATTTCGTCTTACAGAAAACCACAGTTTCTTGGGAAACAAATTATGTGTTTACATTAGAAAATTGTGTACACACAGCGAATCATTGCATCCCAAAGAAACTTTTTAGTATGTACATACATACAAATCTATTATTCTTTTCTTCTTTTTTTTTTTTAACTTAATGCATATGGGCCACTGATAGTAGTTCTAGCCCATTTAATAGTTGAAGTGCGTGTCGTTCATTTCCTAGGCTGTTGGATGATGATGGGACGCGAACTGTGGATTTGACGTGCATCATGCGTTGGTATAGGCTTTTCATGGAAGACTTGGACAGCTTCTGGTGGAAAATCTGCATTCCCTTTTCCAGGAAATCCACTGATCATTACAGTTTTAGGTGGACTGAAATATAATTAAAATTTATTTATTTACAAATAGAAATAAATAAAAAAAATAGGAAAAATAAAATAATAGTGTCATTAATTATATTATTTGCATCGTAATATAAAAAGTTTTATTGGAGAAAGTAAATTTTAACAGTACCATATTGCACATTTGTGTACGTATTACGAATGATGTTGCAAGAACATAGTAGATAATGTAAATATAGTAAATCATACTCTCTCTCTACACATACGTATACACAACACAGTTTTATCATATATTATTTTTTGATAATCATTTTCGGTTAGATTAAGCGAACGAATTATCTTCGCTGTAGAAAAAATAATATTTGCGCTTACCTACTCGATGGTTTACTTTCGTCCGCATCCTTAATCGGCTTTATTTCACGATCTTCTTTTGGTGATTTATGTTGAGTGATTCTCATACCTCCCGCTTTTACTGCATCATAAATATAAACATTTTATAATAAAAAACGTTTGTTTGATTACGTGGCCTTGAAATTTTTAGCAGGTGCGTGACTACGTCATTCCATAAATGATGTGTAAACATGTTAACCTTTTCTTCTCTTTTAAAAGAAATTGTGATTTAATTTGTTACCTGCAGGAGGGTGTCCGCCCTTGAGTTTGCATTCGTCGGGACTCGACATTTGTTCACAGATCGATTTGTAAAATTAGGATTTCACTTAACGTACTGCGAAGAATAATGTTTCGCTCGTTGCACTGCGACACCAATCACACTAATTCGATGGCGGCCGGCGCTGGAATATGTATGTATACACACCACACATATGTACATATAGATTATAGATGACAGTAGTGGGGGACCGTCAAGGTCATTCCTTTCTCTTTATCTCTTGCATGTTGCAATTTGTTGATGTCAATATACAAGATATTCAACAACAGTTCTTCAAGACAGTATATATAAGACGAAAATTGGGAATAAAAATATTGTAACTTCAGCTTCGTTTTTAAACTATTAAAGAAACGTAAACAATGAGATGCATCGAGCAACAGACTGAGGCTCAGAACACAAAACTGACTCACATACTTAACTTTGGCGTTAGTTAACTTACCGATAAATTAGTTACATAAATTAGAATTAAACAAAAACAACATAAATATGTTTGTAAATCAGATACTTCTGTTTTTAGGAATTGAATTTATTAAAGAAAACATTTGTAAGAATACAATAATTTATAATTTCTATTAATTAGTTCCCTTTTCTTTTTGCTCTTGGTACATGTAATGAAGATCTTTGCAGTCTTCATCAGAAATGTGTACCCAACCTGTTGATTTTACGTGATAAACTGCAAGAAAGATTTTTTATATTATATATTGTGTAGACACGCGTAGTATTACTGTTACAAATGTTTATGTACCTCTTACAATTCCACCAGAGTATGCATCTCTATGAGTAGCATGATAAATAGATCTTCTGCCAAGGTCATAAGCTTCTTCATCAGTTAGATCCCAGTGGTATCCAGAGTCAAGTGCACCAAATGCATAGATCGATCCAGATCCTACACTGAAAACTTTTCCTGGAGTACGGGTACCTTCTGAATCAACATAGTATAGACCAGGTCCTCTTTTGTCCCAGCCAGCAAGCATCATACCTATTAATGGGAGTATTAACTACCTATGAGATAAGAAAGTTATTCATTTTAGAAACTGAACTTACCAATACTTAATCCCATGCCTTTATAATTGTATACTATATTCGACAAAAGCTTGCTAGCAGCTGCAATGGAAATTCGTTCTCTGTTTCGTAATTCATACATACGACATTCCTTCGCTAATACACGGTCCCAATAGACACAATCAGCAGCACCACCAGCTAATGTTCCAAGAAGATAGTTATTGATCTCTACTATCTTTTTCATAGTAGATGAACCTGTAAGAAAAGATTTTATAAAATATTTCTACAAATTTCAAATATATGTATTTCAAAGTATACCAATGAATTGGCCTCCTGTTGCACGTGAATCAACAGCAAGAACAATGCCGCCTTGATATTGGAATCCCAATGTGGTAGTTCCATGATCAAATTTGATTTTTAAGTGCTTTCCAGTTTCATCGGTTCCTTCTGCAATGCGAGCTAAAGTTTCGGCTGGCTATATATAAAAAGAATATACTTGGAAATTAATAAAATCTCTACACATTAATTTCTAACCTATATATAAAATTTTATATAAATATATATGTATATCAGTGGTAAATAATTTTTAATATATAAAACGTTCTTATAAATTGAAAAACTATTTTGAAATATATTCTGAAATGTATGATAGAGCATATTATTTCTAAATAGTAATCAGATGATGCTGCAAATTTAAATGCTGTTCCTGGAGAAGCAAAATATTAAAGTTTTAGATAAAGTACTTACATTTATGTACGGTGGTACAGCCAACTGCACATTGTTAATGAAATTTCCACTATAAGCTTCGATTTCCCGTGAAAAATTATCTTTTTCACGTACTGCATTGAAATCAACAAACGACTTAAGACCGCAAACTTCAGCGAGCGCCATTTTTGTGATAGTCCTTGTCCTCAGTGTTGAATGCTTGTCATCTTGATAATTCACTACAATTGCGATAGTGGGCGCATTCGGCGTTCCACAATCTCTAAAGGCGCGTGTCCATTCGAGAGTTATATAAAACTCTCGAAAGTGAAAATCTATAAAGCGCTACAATTATATGTAGACTTATATTTTGCTTGTGACTATAATGATTAGTTTACTCAATAAACCAATTAAGCAGCAGGAGTAGACTCTACTCCTATACAAAATTAGATCATCATCGATTTAAATTCTTAATTTGATTGATTCGGCGATGCTTATTCTCTATTTATTTAATTTTATTATTATGATCATTTGTCAATTGTCGTTTAAAGGAAATTGCCACTCGATCTTAAATTATTTTTGCAACTTTGTGATCAACTTATTCATTGTCTACCGACAGAATTTCAGCAGCTAATCGTGAATCAATTATCTGATAGATTGTTATAATTCTAACAAACAGCGATAGAGGGTGCTGATAGCCCAAGCGGTGACCCGGCTTGGTGCGTGCTCATTGGTGTTTGATATTTGGTGGGGGAACTATACTGTTTCGTACTATCGAATATGACGACGTGTGATAGCTGGTGTATTTAGTAGTGTGTTTCACGCTGTGAATCGAGGATATAGGCAGTATTTTAGTATCGTGCGATAGGCGGTTGTCGGCACGTTGTTATTCGTTACAATAGTTGTCCACCCCACTCCAATCACTCGAGACTCATAACATTTGTGAAGTCGGAGTGGGGTGGACAGGTATTCTGACCGTTCGCGTAGGTGTCAGTCTTTAATTTTCTAATTCTTAATACGATTCACACGACTTCCTGAGAGATTCGACAATACGAGGAGAAAGGTGAGTGAAGCAATGAAAATTCCTTGTCATCCGTTTCATGCATACAAACTTCTTCATGTTTCCATAGAAACGTTTTCCTGTGTGCGTTCACGAAAATTTGGCAGGTGTTGTTCAGTTAATATGTACCCTTAGGCTGTTTCATCCTAAAAACTATTATTATTATTATGACAGTTGATGTAATTAAATTGAAGTAGGTATTAGGTTGTCCTAAATGTATTTTTTGTAATGCACATGTTTAATGTTAGGCACTGTGAGCATATTACAATGTACAGTAACATTTTTGCAAATATTCTGTTATTTTGTTAGTTGAACTTTTACGTATTCAATCAAATTATTTGTTTGTGTAAGAAATAATTTTGAATTCGCATTATGTACATTAGTCAATAACGGAATAGTAGGACTAATCAAAGGTGTTTAATATGCAATAGATTTCTTGATTTTTTGAACGCTGTTCATTTTGAAAACGCCAACGTTTGCTATTTGTATAATTTGTGACGGGGTAGATAGGCAGATTTTCGTATGGCTGGCGCTGGTTATCGCATATGATAATTGGAGTAAGTCATTAACTCTGTAGAAGACAATTCATTGACAGCATAATAATAATGATGAAAGGTGTAATGGAATAATTTCGTACAGTAAACATGCGAAATCGATAGGATTTTGTTTCTGTGTTAAAGCCCATTGTGCGTTCGAATAATTTGTGAAATGGTTGGGCGTTCTCAAAAATACTTGACACAAATCAAATTTTTGTTTTATTTGCTATTCGCTCTGTTATTTTATTTTAGTCAAAGTAAAAGCTAGATTGGTTAATAAATTATTTACTCTTTCTTATTTTATTTGAAATTTATATATTTGTTATTAGCACACTAAACCTACTGCTACCAATCACATTATCGGTTTTATATATTTCATGTTACAATTATTGTAATGATAAAGATCTTTCCATGGAAAATCATTGAATTTCTTTAACCACATAAATATTGAACCAGAAAACCCCTAAAATCAAAATAAATTCAGTTTTGTCATTTTTATAAAGCAACTTATGTTAGTCACTTTTAGTGCTCCTTAGGCTTGGGTTAAAGTACATTTGTACTGTTATGATAGTCACAAAAAATTTACGATATTTTCACGGTATGCGAAGTTTTTCAATAAAAAATGTAAACTAGTATGTTTAGATTATTTACTATGAAAATATTGACGCGAATATCATTTGCTTGATAAGTGGAACGACTGTCAGGATTGGCATATTTTTCAAATAAGATGTTCAATTAATTAATTGACAATAATTTCAACAAATTAAGAAATTAATGGATTGAAATAATTAATAGTTACATAAATGAATTGACAATACAGGAATATTTATAGTTTTAAAGTCGAGATCTTCTCAAAAAAAAACATTTGATCAAATAAAAAAATATCAAAAATTATTTAATTATTTCAAATAGCATGTAATCGGACAAGATAATATATTATTCAATCGAATATTTTTCAAATAATTTATTTGAAAACTACCCATGCCTGACATATGCATAGATGGATCTTTAAGCATCACTTTCAAGAAAAGGAAAGGAAATAGAAAGTCCAATATAATTTCAACATATAAAAAATAATATATTGTCATTCTAAATTTCTCTCTTTGAATCTTCTTGCTGTTTTAAGTGTCACTTAATCAATTTGATCCTTAAAACGTCTCTAATTCTATTTTTGTTTTAAATGCAGTGAACATATAAAATAAAAACTACAACATTGTCTCTTGAGATGCATTAGGCAAAGATCATTCCCACTAATTGAAGTTTCACTACAATATTGGCGATAGTACAGGGATATCCGCTTAATTCAGAACCCGCGCACGTGAGAAAAGCGCGACAAGCAAGTTCGTGACACGTATAGGTGCATTACTACATTCATGCAACGTCATCTCTTTCACGCGTGCCTATAGTCACGGAGGTAAGGTTCATTGGCGAGGTCCGAGAGAAATTGTTCAATATTGATTTAGTCCAAGTTGTAAATCCGTTTACGGCAGCGTTTAGGCTTTTATCAGTCGACGGAATCGTTTCCAGCCGAACGCCGGTGTTTCCATTGTATAGTTACGGATAGTAATAACAATTTGATTTTCATTAGTTGCCGGTGCTGGCGGACGTTGTATTGTTGTCTTTGAGAGTGCCACTCGCATGCGTCATCGAGTTCGATCCGCGTAGGGTTACGGTCGTTGGACGGTGTCAAGGGACACAATCTATCAAAGAACTAGCAGAAAACCAACGAAAACAAAATTATACTTCGGTTAATCCTTTCCGGTCCAAGTCCAGGACATTCCCAATAATGTTTACTCTTTGTTATATTTACTGTTGTATAATAATGTAAGATTACAAAAATATATAAAACGATACTTCGCTTGATAAAAGTACATACGTATGTACGTACATGAACCCAGTAGAAAAAGTTTGCATACAGCCTCTTTAATGTTAAACAGCTTTTTTAAAATTGGACTAATCTACTTGAATTCATTTTAAGATGTTAGAAGGGCTAACTTAATAAACAATTAAGAAAATATTTTTTTGCGGAGATTGTGATTATATCTGAGCTTATAACAAAAATGTAAGCATTACATTTTGATACAGTGATTTTAAGAAAGGTTGTATCACCTCCAAGCGTTGAAATCTTTCACGATTTTGATTTAATAGGATTAAATTTCTGCCAAGGATTTGTTTACATCAATGGATTAAGTCTCCGTGACTCGATGTTTCCGATAGACTCTAATTTGATGAATATGGTAATTAATGCGTCTAGTCTTCATATACGTGACGTCTTGTTGACATCCACGCTTGTTCGCGCACGTAAGGCTTCTGAATAAAATGGATAATCCTGTATCGGTTCTGATTGAATGAAAGAAAAGATACTTAACGCAGCCTGTAGGGAGCTTTGGACACAAAATTCGCGATGAGATTTGTTACGAAAAGGGATTTATTTTTTTCCAGCGTTTTTGGGACGTCTACACAACAGGCCAGCCATAGGGCCAGGAAATTTCTTTCTATGTGAGTGCATACTGAACCTCGATTATCAAATATTTTTTGGACACGGCTGTTTAGGGGAGGTTAAGGTGCATAACTATAAAATCCTCTTCAATTTTGCTCTATTGCTAGAGCAAATTGCTTTTTATATAATTCTTCGCTTTCTCCTGTCTGTAATTGGTGCAGGGTGATTGAAGATAACGCAAACTTAATGTATACTAACGTTTTAGTGATTCCGGCATCGACATCTTCATCTGGTACAATAATAGATTTGAAAATTGATGTATATATCAGACAAACCTTTTGAAGCAAGAACTTTTTTGAGGATAAATACAATAAAACTATAAACATTCCCATATTTTCAATTAATTTATATTCAGTTCGAGAATTTTCTATCAAATTTTTGTTTTACTTTATTTGAGTCAAGTATTTGAGACAATAATTTGTTTGAACGAGGTAAAAGATAAAATTGCTTTCCACGTTATTCGTAAAATAAAAATAACACGGTGTTTGAATCCTTTTGTGAACAATGCGAATCATCTCATTTTGTACTTAATTTTTTCTTAATTTTTTTGTACTCATCTGATGTTACCACTTTATTGTAAAAGGGGTTTACAAAGTCAATTATTAACAAAATTGCGTAAAATCGTTATCAAGGGGCAGATTAAGCTGTAGAAAGGAGGACGGATGAGGATTAACCTAGCTCTTACAATTAGTTTCCAACGAAGGCGGATATTCAAGAAGCATTTTAAATGTGCGTGCTGATTTCTAGATGATGTAAGATCGTACAGCACTCGATACAATGAGAGATTTCTTTTTCAATTGACTCACGGCGAAAAGAATGTATTGTTCCGACACGCCGGTTTCTCTTGCTTCTACCGCGGAACTCCCAATATTTCGGTCAGTATCGATTGTGCTGAATGTGAAACTATACATACGTATATACATATGTATATGTATGCACATATGTAGGGTCCTCCATCTGAAGCATCTCGCTGCGCATTCTGGCACCAGAACCGTGAAACTCTTTCCTTGAATTAAACGCTTAGTGTATTGATTAAAGGGTACTATGAACGTCAACTGTGCTAGATGTTAAGTAGAAAATGCTTATAACTGTTTCGTTGTATATTATGTAATATGTAAGTATATTTAGCTATTTT